TATGGCTTTGCATATTTGTGTGTCTGTTAAAAAAGCAAAATTTGTAGGCATTATGATGTATAGGATTATATATGCCATATTGTAAGATGATTCGTTGATTCACTTCAGGTCCAGTCTCCAGTCGAACACAGTAATAAAGTTACTTTGGCTCCACGAAAGACACCAAGGTATGTATGTCACAATGGGTCTTTGCAAAAGTGTTTAGGCTTAAATTATGAGCTAACTTCAAGTGGATAACCTTTGAACTTGTACTTAATACTTTACATGTCCTAATTTCTATTTTTATGATATGTATTTTGTTGTTGTTGTTGTTGTTGTTGATTTTAGGGATAAATGGAGATTTCACTTTCATTGTGTACATACTGGAGAATGACAGATGCCCTATTACTGGGTAAAACATTTATCAGTATTAATATGAAATACTAGGGAGTATGAATGCCTTCCACCTTTCATATGTTTGAAATGTGAAAGATCAGTAGAAGTCATGCCTAGCATTTTTGTTTGATTTTGTAACAGATTTATTTTCATTGACTTAAACTTAGGCTTTTAGCTTCTTAAACTAAAATACAAATTTTTACATTGCTGTGCCTGCTGTCCTGATAATTTTCAGTGGCATGTAACATCTTGCCTGTAGAGTAAAATTTTAACCCTACATATTTACAGTGTTCCCAACAATTAACACTTTACTGATGGGCACTGCTATAGCCATCATGAAAAGCCTACCCTTCATGACAGGATTGTGTATGTGTCATGACTCACTTTAGCGAGGGAGTGCACAGTGAATGCCTTGCCGATAAGGCTTGACAGTTGTTGATAATCACCAGAATGAGTGTCACACAAAAAATTCTGCCACTATCAGTGTGTGGTTAAACCTCGGTGGCTAACTTCAAAATGATTGTAGTATAGTGAGATCAGTGCTAGAAAGGAAGCTTGTGTGTGTCTAAAATAATTTCAGACAAGATTTCAGGTTGCATGCTAAAAAGATATTTAAACATTAAGAAAAAAACACAGGTTTTAAAAAGGGAAAATCAACATCTATGTTCATTTTTTAAATAAAAAAAGATGTATTGACCCTTTTTCCTCCCCATTTCACAGCATTCCAGCAGAATTACCAAAGAAAGTCCCAAAGCCTGTCACCACATCAGTTCCCAGCTCGCCAGATGCAGTTGAGTTGGAGCCATTCTATTATGGCCAAATTCAGGGAGACAAATCACTTGGCCAGGAGGTTAATACTTACACATTCACCTGCCACATCTGTCAGGTAAGGTGGTAACAATGCAGAGACAAAGATTATAAGTGAATAGGTGTAGGATAGTTTAAAGGACAGCCTGATACTCTATGACTATGGTATAAAACAGTTTTAGTATGGTTATTTTTACTGAAATCTCTTAGGGGGTAACATATTTTATATAGATAGGTAGAAATATAACCTGCTATACAGACTAATATATCACTGGCCATTTCTTTTAAAGACGTTTTACTGAAATCTCTTAGGGAGTAACATATTTTATATAGATAGGTAGAAATATAACATGCTATACAGACTAATATATCACTGGCCATTTCCTTTTCCAGAAAGAATACAAGAGCAATCTAGCCTTCTATGCTCATCTCAAACTTCACCTCAATCGTGTTGATCCAGATAACAAGTTTTGTTGCAACTACTGTACTCAATATTTTGATACAGAGAAGAAGCGAGATTACCATCACAAATATGTAAGTTTTATCTCTCTCTCCTCTCCTCTCTCCTTCCTCTTCCTCTCCCTCCCTCCCCTCCCCTCCCCTCCTCCCCTCCCCTCCCCTCCCCTCCCCTCCCTCCCTCCCCCCCCCCCCCCCTCTCTCTCTCTCTCTCTCTCAGCTCCTCTCCTTTTTATCTGAATTATACTAACAAGCACTGAACATTTATAATCTTTTGAAATCACAAGTCAGTATTCAAGTAATTTTGTATTTTGTTTTACAGTTTCACCTGCAGATGGACAATCGGTACACATGGTGTCGCATCTGCACAGAGAGCTTCCAGGGAGAGTACCAGCTGGTGAACCACATGGCAAAGAAGCATTACGAGAGTGAACTGCCTTACCGCTGTGAAGTCTGTAACTTTGCCACGTCTATTTACTATAGTGTTGTTGACCATTTCAAAAAGGTGAGTGTGCTTTTTTCTTTAGTAGGCTCTTTTCTGTGTTTGTTTATTTCTATTGGTTTAAAGGTTTTATGTTATTTGTTTACTTGTTTTATGATTCTTTCAGTTAATTGTAATTTTCAGATGAATTCTGTTTATTTAGTTATTATAATACTTCCTGATTTTTTTCTTTCTTTTTTTCTCTTCTTTTAACCCATTGGGACTGGGTAATTGCACTGGTTACTATAGTTTTGGGTTGAGAATTTTGTTATACAGATGGCTCCTAAAGTGCTTAGTCATCAAGGTGTCAGTAAGTAGGCCTGCCTAACCTCACCAGAAACGGTTGTAATTTTTCTTATGCTTTTATTATCATTACTGTTATTGTTATTATATAATTATATAATTATATCATTTCAAAATTATTTCTTCCTTATGACATTACATATTGCAGTGTTATTATCTAAACTAACAGCAATGAGAAATTTTTAAAATCCATAAATCAAGTGAAAGGGTGAACAGGTTATATCAACAAGGTCTAGTAATTAACTCCCTGGTGGCTAAGCTATTGTAGAGCCATATGTAAGCAAAATTAATAAACCAAAATCAGAGTGGATATGATATATACATGTATGTAAGCCATCCTAGCTGCAATTGGTAAAGGACCAATATTTGTCATCAGAGGAGTGTAGTATTTTTACCCAAAATATGGATTTTTGTCAGAGATCTTCATTCATGCAGAACCTGCTTCTTCTCACAGGAACATGAGAATACACCCTACGTCCAATGCCACTACTGTCTCTCAGTTAAGACTATCAACTCAGCATCAGCAAGCTCCTTCTCACACAGGATGTACCAGCATTTGCAGGTAATTTATATGGCAGGGTGACACATTTCAGTTCAGATTTCGTTTATTGGCCTAAAGAGTGTGAAGCTTGATATTCACAGGTTGAGCAAATTGTTTGTGTTTTTTTAATGGTTGTGATATAGCATCATCTATAAGTACCTTCCTTAGCTATGACCCTAGGTATGACCAGAGTAAGTACTAATAAACCAACTTCATACGCAACCAAATAAAAAGAGTGTCCAACAAGAAACGTATTATGTAGAAAAGGTATGAATGAGAATAAATATCTTCACAATACAAGTGATGTATTTGACCAGTTTCAAATTTATCTTCATAAGAAATTTGAAAATTTTGAAACCGGTCAAATACATCCCATGTATTGTGAAGATATTCATTCTCATTCATACCTTTTTTACATGTCAACATGAATATAGTTCAAGAAATACACTAACTCTCTAGAACTTCTCAAGCTACCCATGCAGAAGTAGTGATAGTGAAGTTTTCTAGATGGTCTTTTTCAGGCACTTGGGAGGGGGGAAGTGTTCACAAATTGGAATGAGGTCTCATATTACAAAAATGCCTTTTCCCATTGCAGAAACATGCATCACAACAAGGAAACTGTAGATTCTGTTGTCTAACTTTCTATAGTAAATACTTGTTAGACGAACACAAGAAAAAGGATCATGTTAGTCGTGCAAATGTAACCGGTAAGTTTGTTGTATATGAAAGTAAGGAAATCAAGATCATAGAAAGTGAAACAAATTTTTGATTTTAATGAAATGTATTGCTAGACACAATTTGATGGTCCTTGTTTTATATTGTTGTTTAACCATATTTGAGATTTAATATATATTTCCTTTCTTTAATAGGCTTACAAAGGTATAAAGTCCCTCAAGGTGCCAACAAAATTCTTTTCCGTCCATGTGTGAAACGCGGACAGCCACGCCCAAGTAGTGAAAGCTCTTCTGGCAGCCAAACTCCATCAAACATCGTTGCAATCTCCTCAACTCAGCAATACCTGGATAATGTTACTGTCAACACTGGAGATGACGACAAGACATACTACTGCATTGAATGTGATGCAAGCCTTACATTAGAACAGCATTTCAAGTAATGATTTTTCCCTTTATATATATATATATATATATATATATATATATATATATATATATATATATATATATATATATATATATATATATTATTTATTTATTTATTTATTTCTCTATGAAATAATGTGTGACATTATATCACTTTTTTCCATATTAACCTTAAGATTTTTGTGATATATTAAAAAATGTGAATGTTTTGTTTCACAAATTTTCAGAGCTTATCAGAAGTGCACCAAGTGTACATATGCTACTTGCTGCCGAAGCATGATAAGTAAACATGCTCACGTGTTTCATCCGATGGGAAGGACGAGGAGAACTTATTATAATTTAGGCCCACCAATTGTTCTTCCTAAGCCACTATTTTGTATTTGTGGCTTTAGCTCACGAAGTGGAAATCATCTTGGTGAGTGTTTATATATTATTAGTTCTAGTTATATTAGTTTTAAAGGGTGACTTGAAGGACTCCATTTAATGATTTTTTTTACTGATGCATACACAACCACTCAACTACTATTACGTATACACAACCACTCAACTACTATTACGTATATATTCACAGCTCGACATTTGGCACTCTGCGATGGAGGCAGAAAGTCTGCCTACCCCTCTGTGATGGATGCCATGGTGTACAGGGGAGACCACTTAACAGGAGGAGCAGTATCGCTGGCCAACTTGGGTCTCGGTAGCCTGGCCCTGAGTGGCATGCTGGCCCCAGAACTACTTCCCCCAGCCCCTGATGAGCCAGGGACTGAGACCTCAATAGACATGACACATTTCATGAGCATGAGCATGGAGGTGGATGATGAATGATGATTGCCCTGAACTATCTGTGAACTCAACAGGTTAGGAAAGTTTTGTGACGTGTATTTGCTCATGTTTTTTTTAAATTTTGGTCTAGGTTTTTTTTTTTTTTTTTTTATTATTATTGATAGTGTTACATTGAGCAAAAGGTCATAGCCTTGAATATAAGAGGTATTGCCACACCTGGAAATTCTATAGAAGCATTGGCTACCATTTGGAAAAAAATTGTGATTTATTAGGACCTTAGTTAGATACATATGTTCATGTTTACTAGATTTTTAAAAATTAATTACAATAATGTATCTTTTTTGGAAGTCATAAGTGAGAAATATTTGAGTGAGTGATGCTTTGCGTGATTTTATTTTTTTGTTAAAGTTTATATCATTTTATATATATATTTCTTCTTTGTCTTTTTATATTGCTCTACAAATTTGCACAAAAATACATTTATGATAGATGATGTTCAGCATTATGAGATCTCTAGTTTTCTTATGCTTTGCAAGAGTCTAGTAGTTATAATTTGTCTCTTGTTTTCTATGTGATATTTTAATGTGATAGGGATTTTTTTCTTTTGCCCATAACTAGAAGAAAAAAAGTGGGCATGAGGATGAGTAGGTATGCAAAAATTTCATATTGTTTTACTAGAGAATGATCACGGAGGTCTTGCAGGAGTTGCTGTAATTTAGTCTGTGGATGTGTTTAAAAGGTTTGGGGGGGGAGGGGGGATTGGTGAAGTTCACCTATTGGGTCAAAACTGAGGTCCGGTTTGGCTGATAAGTTAAAACCAGGGGAAGAAAAATAGTTGTAGGGAGTGATTCAAAAAGGAATGAAGAAAAGGACCTTTTTGTGTTTTAAAAGGTGAAGTGCAATAATTTTTCATTTTCAAGTGGAAAATTATGCATAACTATCAGTTAGTGAATTTGAAATCATCTAAACTGAAAATTACCGTAGACTTCAGGTTAAAGTTGCAAACTCTCTATTCTGTATCAGGTCTTCTGTACTGAAGATGAAACTAAATCAAAAAGGCAAATAACTTTGGTTTGTCATGATTTTCATAGGAATATATGTGTGGTATTATCTTGCACATGAATGAATGTTTTAGTTTTCTTTTTACTGTTTAACTTAAAGCTAATAATGTAGTACCTATCTCGTTATTGCCTTTTTTCCTGGAAAGAGTTATGTATTGGAATATTTAACTAAAGATTGATTTTTTGATGGCAGTAAAGGTTAACAACTTTACAATATAAACTGTTATTAAAAAGAGAGAGAGAGAGAGAGAGTTACAAAAGTTTATAATGAGAGCTACAGTAACCATTAAATGGATTGCAGCAATTTTTTTGTATTATTGCCTCATTGTGAGAGTCCAATTTCTTCAACTCTATTGACCACTTCAACACGAAGCTCAAACGTACACTGCACAAACATATATTATGTAATTAATGGCGTGAAAGGTATACAGAGCAAATGCTAATCATATATTTACCTGTTGATAAGATGTTTGTGGTCAGGTCTTTTTTCTGCAACCATTTTTTCTGATGTCATGTTATAGTTCTGTGAAAGATGTCCCTATGTTTTACTTGCCATTTGATTTCTAAATTTTATTCTGCTTTATGGTAGAGAAAGTGCACTCGCATAACATATTTGCTACCAAACATTGGGTCACATGCTGCTGAATGTTGCCATCCTAAATACATTACATGATTAATAACTGTAATAAATGCAGTAAGCCTGCAGTTAAACTAGGCTCATTTATGAGACCAGGAGAGAAAAACACATTCTGCTTTTAGTTGTCAGGTTTTTATTCTACTCTCATTTTATATGATTTAGGCAATGTATAGAAAACAGATACATAAAAGAAGTAAGGGTGGTAGGTAGTTTTCTTTAATTTTTTTTTTGCAGTATGTGTAGACATCAGACTTGCATTTTTACTTTTTCCAAATTACTAGTTTTATTGAAATTCAGTAACTTTGGAAATTCTTTGGTTTTAAAAAGCATTTAATATCCCAAGTACCATATTACATGGTCAAAAACATGTTTTGTTCAAGATTCTTCACATTTATAGAAGAAACTCACTCAGTATTCCAGTGTAATTGTGGTCAGGTGTTTAATAATTGGATATTCAACAAAATAATCCTTGTTTGACTTCTGTATGTGATTAGAAACTACACAATTTTTTTAAATATATTTTTTGCAGATATAGGCAGTTTAGGCAGTACAGAAATAAGGGAAAATGTTCTCCCCAATCATTCGGATTTACTTTGGGGTATTCAAAGAAAAGATATCAGAAAATGTACAGAGTACCATTAGCTGACTAAGGCTAAACCTTTTGTACTCATATTGTGAATTGTGTATGGAAAATGCGGTTCCTTAAGTTTTTGGCAATATACTGTATTAAATGGCTTTTAAGATATGAAAAGTTTCAGTCAGTTTATGGATTTTCAAGTTTTTCAGTGGAAATGAGAGAGGGGGAAAGTGGGAGATACTGCATAGTGTTTTAATAGAGCCAAAGTCATAGTGCTAGTGTATTGAGACAAAATACAGAGAAAGGTAAAATTGTCAACTGTTTGTGTCATGTACATAAAACCAGTCACATGTTATGAGTGAGCCCATTTGCATTGGGGTGTCCATTTTCGTAGAATTACATAGATTTCAAGGATAAAATTGATAGTCTTGGGGTATTTAGAATACTAAAATCTGTGTTGCCCCCAGTATTATCATCTAGCTCCCACTGGGGACCAGTGTCTCCTCCAGAATTCAGCTATATCTCTGACTTTTTCGTTGACTTACAGTTCTTATGTTTGATATATAATACACAGATTTCAGCAGAGAACATTTAGCTAAAAGAAACCTATAACTGCATTTTATGCATGTAACCTTAAATCATAGCATAAGGTGTATAACATGTATGTAAAATAACATTTTAAGGGAGGGTTTTTGTATTTCTTGTTAGTAGTGTAATGCATCATTATTGTGAAAATATTTCAGTATCTTATTATTCTAAATTCTCCATAAAACAAGAAAACCAACTGGAAACATTTAGTACATTGTTTTATTGTATTATGCACCTTATTCAGCTTGTTATAATTTTCAATCGGTGTTCCTACCCATGAGATGCATTTGATAGGAAAAAGATAATGTATCTTATTAATAGATTCCATGTTAATTTTGAAACATACCAACTCACAATGGGATCTCATCGCACCATACTGAGTTGTGTGCCAGGCATCACATACAGTCAGCTGATTTAGTGAAAATTTTTAAGCAAAGGAAACTTGTATTTACTATCCTTGCTATGCTTTAGGCTATAGCATACACAGTCTTTTTGGGAAAAGAGGCTAATGAGAGATCTGCATTTGAAGGGCCTTATCTTTAAAGTGATTGTAGCTGGATCAAACAAGTGAACAACTGCTAAGAGCACACAACTTGAGCAAGCCTGACTGCTCACAGAATGTGGGTAAATGTCATCTGGTGTGAGGCGGATGGAGCTCTGGCTGGATTTGGCTGGGCACTCAGAATCGTCCACACAGGATTATCTCACATTATCCAGCTTGTAGAGAGAATTTTAAATGATTGATGTATGTATTCTTATGACAAAATTACATAGCACAATGAAGTAGGATTGCCATACATCAACTGTAAAGAATAATTTATTGCAGCATTAGTTCACAGACAAGGTCTTTGGCTACTGTGAAAGAGAAGGTTGTGTTAGAGTACAGAAAGGACTTGTCCCTAGAATTTACTGGCCTTCAGGTGATGATTTTCACACTGCTATCAACTGTAGCAAATTCAGTGAAGAGCATTGCAGAAAATCCACTATGCTCAAAACAGGCTTATTGAAAAATATGATATCAGTTTTGAAATCCTCTTGGATTTGATTTTCAGCCATTTGTTTACTGATGTTTACTGTATTTATTTCATTAGGTAGATAAAGGTAACAGAAATAATCTGGTTAACGTAATGACATTATGATCCTGTGTTAACATACACAAGGACATATTTCTATGTCAGATATCAAACTAGTCAGTTTAAAATACAGAAAATAATTTGTACTATAATGTGCAGTATTATATAAAAAAAATCTTAAAAAATGAATAAATAAATAAAAATATATATAAAAAATTTAATTGAATACTTAAGGCATGATTCAACTGGTCTTGTGTATGTGCAGGTATGGCTGTAAGCTCGGCTATCTGGGCCAAATTGCGTCACTTTGGTGCAAAGTCTGGGGGCTGAGGGGAGCCAGCGATAACACAACCGAGAGCCTGTTTTTCCTCAGGTAGCTAGGGGCTTTCCAGGATGCAATTTAAAATTATTGTCTAATTTGTTTAAAAATTATCAATATAAAGTCAATAAAAGTTATATTAGAGATTTTATATAAAACATTTAGTTAATAATCCAAAAATTTGTTTTTTATTACCAAAAAACAAATAAACAAGAAATGGCTGATTTGACACTGAGGATCTATGCTTGCATCGACGGTCTGTCAATCTAGTGTTAATCATTCTGAAACTGTATATCTGTTTCCGTACTTCCTTTAAAAAAAATATACGTGATAAAACAGGTTGTGCTCCATGTTGCTCAAACAAGAAGTTCTATGTGCAGGCAAATACAGTCTATTATGGTGGTGTTTTTATAGGTGAAACATAAGCCTGGCTGGGCATTCAGACACAAGTCAAGTCTTAGACGAAAAAAGGCCAGTTGAACCGCACCTTTACCTTAAGAAAATTTTAACCACTGATACTTATGGCAATAATGCTTAAAGTTTGTGTTGTTTGTCATAATATGTATTACCAGAAACCGACAGTAACAAACAATAATCAGAAATGGATTTGAAATAAAAGAAGTTATAAAAAGATTACTCTCTAGAAAAAGGGTAGGAAAGCTATGGTCAGTTGTTTATGTGTGTGTATTGTTGCAACTCTCTGCTAGACAACAACAAAATTATTATGAAAAAAAAAAAAAAAAAAAAAAAAAAAAAAAACAATAATGACAGAAATGGAAAAAGGTAAAAGAGTTTCATTTGGCAAAATGGGTTGTAGGCCTACTAATAAAGCTATTGCATAAATTGACATTACTTTCGTTCTCACTTTCCATTTTTATATATATAGACTTCTTACAAGTCAGCCAAGTCATTATCAAATCTCATCACTTTCACTGCCAAACAAGAGCTGAAACATATTGCATTTCATGCTGGGCTTCTTAGCAAGGGTCATGGGGTAAGGAGGGCTATAGTGTGTCTGTCCCTAATAATTGCACACCGAGAAAACTCGGGGAAATTTTATGCATTGGTGTGATGTGCGAGACTACAAAAGGGGAATTTGACTCAAACTCAAAATGGTGGGAAAAGCCAAATTGTCATAATAATGGTAAGTTCATATACATATAGTTCAACATCAACTGATGATGATTGAACTTTAAGGGTTAAATTGAATGTTATTGTTGTGAGTGTTATCAATGAGATAAATTTGCCTTTTACATCTCCTATTTTCATACTTCATACAAGGATCTGTAATAGTCACAATTTTCATGTTAATAGAAAATAGTAATGAAAATAAGTTCATTCTCATAGACAATAACCAGGGATAAAACAAAAAAATCTTGTAAGCAACAAATAAGGCTTTCTATCCAGTAATATGGATAATGGGGCATAGTTATAGTCTAATATCTGTGTTAATAATGAATAATATATGGTATTATACCTTACTACTGGAATCTGATACACCTTAGCAAACTATTTTCAATCTGAATGGTCCATTAGCCAGTGAGTTTGTTCATCATTTGAACAAATATTTACATTCCTTAAGTCTCTCCTGCAATAAGTTGTGCCATATAGTGATCTTGTTTGCTGTGCATTTCATAGGTTCACTAATATGTTCTCTTTTTTTGTATTACTTTTTCTTAAGTGTACCTCATTCAAAAATACTGAGTAGACATAAGGAAAGAAAGTATTTGTAAGCATTAATGCTTTTATAAATGTTTCTTAATAAGTAAAGCTTCATCAGTGTAGAAGAGAATTATTTCCCATATTGATCAACTTCCCCCAAACAACTTGAGTGTGTGTATATTTTGTATTCTTAATAAAGATTTGATAATTAATCTCATTTTTCCTTTTGACCTTTTTTATTTGCTTATATTTCTTTATATACCCTTCTATGTAATATATATATTTATCAAAGAATTCAAGTGTTTACCATGTACTATATTTGTAAAACATACCAGCATATATTTTTGTACATTTTCATAGAACAGAAGGACTCCAAGGGTGGTCCTGATGAAAGGTCAAGAACTGTTCTTTGCAATTTCTTCAGTGATTTTCACTGTTGCCACATTTTAAAACTAATGCTGCTAATTAGATCAAACACTTACATCAGCATAGACCAGTGGTTCTTAACCTTTCTACTACCACTTCCCCCCAATCCCCTGCTTGTTGTTGTCGTGGAAGTGGGGCGGGGGGGGGGAGACTGATCACACCTACCTTGGAACTCAGCCCTTGCCTTAACTAATTTTGTAAGGTCTTTTCTTCTCTCCTTTCCCTTTCCTTCTCTTCATCCCTCTCTTGTATCCACTTCCTTTAGTAAAGTTTAATGTTTGAAACAAATATATGTGCTAGACATCAAAGGTCATATAGCACTATGGTAAAGTATTGTGATGGAAAGGGTAAAGAAGAATTAAAGATTACGATAAAATGTGTTAATGTCAAAGATTAGAGAGTTGTATAGGATAATGGTAGTGAAAAGGCAAAAAAGGGGAGTAAGTGAACAAGAGCAGAGATTAGTAGAAAGGGGGAGGGTTAAGGAGGTAGGGCGATTGAGTGAATTATAGTTTATCTGTCAATGGGGAAGGTATAGGAATAATGTTCAAGGAAAATAGAGATGGCTGTTGGAGAGGGGAAGGTGTTACATGTCAAAGATTAGAGGGTGTTATAGAATGGAGCAACTGCGATAGGTAACCTTGCCTATTTGTTTTTGAAGGCAGTGTTGAAAGAGAATAGGGGTATTCTCAGAATAGTGGGCTGTGGGGGGGATCACAAAGAATCGATCCCACTTGGCTGGGCCAAAGAGAGTACTCAAAAGGTTTGCAGAGGTAGAGGCAGTAGAAGGACGAGGGTGAGAGGAAGATGGGGTGGTGCAGAGTGGAGTAGTTCTATGGGGGGGAAGGAGAATAAGGATGAAGAGTAGTAATAAGGGAAGAGGGGGTAGACACTGAAGAGGACTGAGCAAATAAAGAAATAAAGAATGTTGGGAGAGAGGAAGGGGTGTTTTCTGGAGGCTGAGTAACAACCTGGGTGGGTGTTTTGGAATGGATAGAGTTGTCAGTAAATGTTGAAGAGGGGGTATTAGTATCAGTGGTTGGAGCCGTGGTCAAAGGAGTGGCAGGGGTTGGAAAACCATCAAAATTAAATTTAGATAGGCTAGTTAATGAAAGGGCAAGCATTAAGGGGGCCATCGCGCTGAATTTTCGACAATTTTTTTCAAAAATACTCAAATTTTTTTTTAACAATCTCCTGTAATCTAGTAGTCTATGGCAACCCTGTAACGGAATATTCCTGCTAAATATGTAAAAATAAAAACCCTGCCCAACTCCGATTGCTGTTATATGTTCATGCAAATATACTTGACTAGGTTGTTTTTCTGCAATAATAGTACCCCAAATACAATTTCTTTTGGTATTCACTTATAAAGGCTAGCTGGCACCTCTACATACTGTATCTCTGGGAAGTTTATTTGAAGTGTCTCACATCATTCTTACATGAATTAGACGAAAGTCAGCTCTGCATCAGGGGCCACTGAGGGAGGAGAGGAGGCTGGCTACCCTCACACACCGCCGCCACATGCCTTATCTCCCTCATCCCCTCCCTCTTTATCTCCCTCGTTTCCTCAGCCAGGTACAGCAATAAATACTCCTCCTTACTATACTTCTCCCCAACCATCTACATCATGCCTGCCTGATGTCACATCACTTGCCTCCTCAACAACATCACATGGACCTGCCCAAGATGCGCCTTCATCCCATTGTAAGAGGACACATCTCATGAATGATGTTATACTTGTATGTAGTAAATCATATGATGATAAATACATGTTATCACTGTCACACCTGCAGCAGTTGTTTAGCTATGTGAAATGCCCCACAAGGCACTGTAAAGGCATTTTAAAACCTGTGATGACAAGGATGCACTTCGACAACCATGTGAGATTAGTTTGTGACAGGTGTGATAAAACCCTCTGTGACACTCCTCCCATTGCCCATGAAAACATGACTGAATCTTACACTGTCCAGGTATATCATAGCCTCACTACAGGTGTGGGATGTGCTGGATTAGAAAACAGTGCCCCATATTTCTTGATTGGAAATCTCTCTGCAGGTGTTTACACAAAGCACTGCTCTTACCTATACAGAGAGATGGGAAAATGGTTTGGCACAGTAATGAAAAAAGGGAGAGAGAAAGTGAGCTATTTTATATTGACAAAGGTTTATCGCAGCCAGATGCCAGTGGGAACATCAACATCGAAGTTTCCTTTGATGGGTCGTGGATCACCAGATATCAGCGTCGGGGTTGTGATAGATGTGTACACCAGAATTGTGATAGACGTTGAGGTCCTATGGAATCATTGCCCAAGGTGTAGGTGTAACCCAGCAAACACGTCTGCCACAAAAACTTTGAAGGTAAGTTGGGTGCAATGGAGAGAGAAGCAGCAGTGTGAATCTGGTCCTGACCCTTAGACCTCAAATTCAAATATAAAACCTTTGTAGGTGACGGGGATTCGAGCACATACAAAGCAGTATGCCAACTAAACAATAGCAAAGGACCGTACAACGACTCCGCCATGAAGGAGGAGTGCATAAATCATGTAAGCAAAAGGATGGGGACCAGACTGCGCAATGTCAAGAAGGATACGAGTGAAACGGTCACAACCAAAACTGGCAAAAGAATGACGAGGGGCTTGTTAGGAGGTGCCCACATGTTGATGGAAGAGGTCATCGATCTTCTTGGGTCATATTAGGGGAAGGCGATCCATGACAATGTGGGCACTGACTTTGAGACCTAGAAAAAGGCTGTGTGGGCGACATTCTTCCACTTGACGTCAAGTGATGACAAGTCAGCACATCACTGTTGCCCATGTGGTATAGACAGCTGATGCTTCTTCAATAGAGCACTAGCTGAAAACGTCACACCAGTTAGCCACAAAAGGAAATCCCTTTACCTAGCTAAAATCCCCTTCGAAAAGCTGGACCTCTTCAAATTTGTCTACCGAGATCTCACAGCCCTGGACATTCTAGAGAAGAAGGGGGCAACACAGAATCCTAATGAAAGTCTTCATTCGAAGATTTGGCTAAAGTGCTCAAAGGCCAAATATGCTGGTCACTTCCGAGTGCTGTTCATCGCAAGGGCAACAATACTAGATCACAACTTCAGAAGGAAAAGTAATCTCCTTGTTCACTTGCTTGGTACCAATGCCATCATTTCAAAAGCACTTGATAAGGAAGACCAGGAGACAGATCGAAAAGGGACAGCAAATAACAAAAAGGGAAAGAGAAAGCTATCCTGGACCTCCGACTATCAGCTGGGAGCTTTCTAGGGAGCTAACCTGGCTACAATGAGGGAGGTGGTGTCTCCTGATACCCACGGCTTTGAGCGATTTATACCTTGCAAAAGGGGGGACCAGGTACCAGCCACACTTTGGAAAACCATTTGAATGCCATAGAATGCATCAAAATTGACACAGAGTTCAGAATTCTAAAAAATATAAAAATAATAAAAATGCAGGAAAAAATATCCTCAACTTCAGAGCTCGATATCTCAACACTACACCTTTGTTAACATTTTTTTATACTCCATAACTATTTGGGCGATTCTTATAGGGTTTGGATCATTTGAAAGCTGAATAAATTTGCAATTTTCTGGAGTACTGCAGTTTTCATTCAGGTAATAGATGTTCATATATTATAATCTTATGTTCATAAGACTGAACATTCAGAAAAAAAAAGAGGAAATTCCAAAATCAAAGTGATCAAACTTTTAGGTATTGCTATAGAGTATGAGGCTTTTTCTTCAACAAGTTTGATCAATGGATAAGTGTGAAATATTAAATTTTGTGATTTTTCAGAACTTTGTTTTTTAACAACTTTGTTGTCTATTCAAATGATATGAAGTTTGGTAATGTTTATCACTGTATATGTACATATAACATTAAAAAATTGCGAAAATCCGTTTATAATTGACAACTTCGCTCTCGAGCGAGATGGCACCCTTAATGCCCATGTTAAGAGTAAAGAATCTTCATTATTGGCCATGGCAAGCCTGAATAAAATGGGGAAAAGGAACGGTCTACCCTTCAGGGTCCCCATAAGGGGTAAGGCCTAGGCAATTAACCAATTGCCAGGGCCATTCAAGACTGACACAAAGCCTTACATCCTTTCAGCACACTCTCACACCTTAGGAATGGGATAGAAGACGTGGATGAAGAAGATACGGAAGAGGAAAGGAGAGAAAGAAAGACCAAGCAAAATTAGCTGAGGCCCAAAGTAAGGGTGATCCCCTACATTGGGCCTCAGTCTCCGTCTCCTAAGCCTTACCATGACAACAACAAGCAAAGTATTGGGAGGGACCAAAAACATAACTGAAGCTAACATAGCAATAAAAAATGGTAATAGACATTTTCTTAAATTTATTGACTAAAAAAGAAAGAAGAAAAAAACTGGTAAGAATTTCAGGTTTCCATATAATTTCTTTCTATAAATATATATATAAATAAGAAACCATTTTTTAATACAGTTTCTCTCCTTTAATCCTTTGATTCAAAATTTTCTTAACATGGGAATTTACGTTCAGTCTGGGTTAATGATCAACTATGTTGATTCACATACAGTATGAGAAGACCTGAATAGATTTTTTACAGACATATATAATATACAAATAAATAAATATATCTAATAATGTATTACAGTGAACTTGAATTAGGCACTATGCATGGGAATGATTCATTCAAACATACCTGTCCATAAGGCTCCATAAGTCACACATTTGCAGGCTTTTCCCTACAAAGTAATTATCAGCCCAAGGTCTGCATACCTGAGCATGAAATTAAAATTTCTGACATTTATTAAGTCCCTTGTTTTGCTGCTCTAAGTTTTTGTCGAGATTTATTGAAGGCATCTAACACTGCACGGGTTGATAACTGCCAACTGGGAGCATTCCAAGGCACAGTTGAATGCCATGATTCTGCGAAAAAGAGGTAAAATTTCTTTAATGCCATTATTATAGATTTAATTTAATTACTTTATTTCTTATTTTTATCTTCTTTTTTTTGGTAAGTTTGAATAGAAAAAAGAGAAATAAAAGTTGTTGTTTTTTTGTAATTGATACCAACTGAAGGTAATTTGTCTTTTATAATTATTACCAACTGAAGGTAATATCTCAATACTTGTCAAAATTAATGAAAATCAATTATCTATGTTTATGATAATTCACATCTATTCATTTCAAAATCAAATTACATAATACATTGTATACTTGCACTAACTGTTAAGCAATTATCATTAGCACTAATATTCTCTTCTTTTTAATAGCCAGAGATAAGCAATTACCTTCAAGGCCACTAATTACCTGTTATTTTAGAGTTTGACTCAATGAGCGAGTTGGTTCTAAGCTCCACTGTACCACTTGTCACAGTCCTGAATCCCAACCTACTCTTACGCCCATTCTACGGATAAAGTTGAATCTTATTAGGAAATGCATGACAAGGTGATTTAGTTTTGTTCTTGATAAGGTTAATGCATCATGAAAGGGCTGAAATATGATACAGAATTAAAATCAACAATTATATACTTTCATCTTATTTTCATTTACTAAATCATGAACATATTTTAAAGCTGGAATTTTATTACACTTCACAGCCAACAAAATAAATGTTAGTCTGGCATAAATAGCTTAGGAAATACTTAATAGATTGCTCCACACACCCCAGAGCAATAATCAACAGCCAGATATGAAGAATCCGCCATGAGTTGACATCCTCCAAGAAAGAATCTTCGCATTGTGGCAATGGGTGAAGACTGGGCTGGCCGCCATGTTCCCACTTGGTGAAGTCCACCGTCCCTCTTGTTATTGTTGCATGAGACATCGCCTAATGGAACCATGAAACAGTTACATTATAAGAAAATGCTGAAATGGTTTACACAAAACTTATCCATAGCAAAATGAAACATTATTTAGCATTCACTAATTATATCTAAATAAAATTCACAAACAATCTACATCAGAACACTGCTCCTCAACACTTCACACATACCTATATCAAGCATTGTGGAAATATATGTCTGAAGCAAGAACTTACCAGGTGTTGGAAGAACAAAAGATGCATATCCTTCATCCCTCTCCCGGCCCCACCAGTCAACTGAAAATACTGCCAGTAACATCTGTGGCCAACCTTTACCTGTGAAGAAAAATTATAAAAGTTAGTTACACCACTAATATTGACCACAAAAAACTGGCAGGCATGCATATATGCAGGCACACACAAACAAATTTTCTGCCCACTGACCTCCTTTTGTGCGTGTCACATCTACAGTGAAGGGTGTGGAATAATGCACTGTTGGAATATCCTCTAGGTGTCCAACCACACACGTGGGAGTGAAGCCCTCACAGTCTGTCCCAGAGTTGTGTCTCCATCCTGAAATCCAGCAATAAATAAGAAATCATATTTACTTCCACATTTTCCAAATGTTACCTATTTATATTTGTGCAAATAACAGGTCCTTAAAGAAGAAAAAGAAGAAAAAAAGAGGAAAAAGAATAAGAACAACAGCCAACACCAGGTAAATGCATGTTAGTGTGTTATGTTACACCTATTAGGACACAGGATAAAGTTAAGAATTTTATTTTGCCAGTTTCTTTTTGTTTGTTGTTGTCTTTATGATGCATGACTAATATCACAGATCATCATGAAACCAAACTTTCAGAAATACTTAAAGGGAGGAGGTTCTTAGAAAGACAAAAATGCATTACAACTATAATTTTGTAATACTTTTGACATGGAAAACTATCAAATAAAGTATTTATATCTTGTAATGTGTTTGACCATAAACCACTACATTGAATTGCCATGCTATATCAAGGTAACCCCTATGCAAATATTTGTAAAAATATAACAGGTCCATAGGAATTATTATGCAACATGGAACTCAGTGCTTCTGCAATTCACCTGGAGGAAGATGCAGGACATAGTGAAGGTACAAAGACGAAACATCTGTGAAGTGTTGTGCACGACAAATCTCCCCCGTCACAACCAATCGTATTTCACCTTCACCTAACTGTTGCATGTTCCAGTCTAGCCCAACTATTTGCTGCATTTCTTCCATACGCTGCCGCGATATCTAAAAATAGAGAGACATGAAAGTCAAACAATTTTCAGGTTCAACACAATAGTATGTCAAAAACCATCTATCTCTATTCTTTACATTTCCAAGAAATAATCACTCCACTTGCTATCTAAATCTATTTGCATGTACTCAAACATAAATTAAAATTGCCCTTTTACTTGCTTCAGAGATTAAAGTTGGTAGATTATCTTAAAATTATTCATTTTACTACTCATATACCCTAAATTTTGTACTTGCATACACTTTCTTTTGTTATAAATTTGAACCTACTTAGAAAATTCAATCTGCTCAAAGAAAGATAAATGATGTAGTTCAAGATATGTATACAACAGCTACATTTAATTCAATATTAACCTGTTGAAGCAGCTCATTTTCTTTCTGTTTCTCCTCCAGAGGTTGTGGAAGAGACACATTTTCAACAGTGTATTCATAAAGAGCATTGTCAGAGCCAAAACTCTCTAATCTGTAGGAAACAAAAAAGAGTAAAAAGTTTACACTAATTGCGGAAAGCATCAAAGGTATAAAAAGATTCAAAATCTATTACCAGTCTCTATAAAGAAGTGTTGTAGAAGCAAATGGCTTTTTAAAGGCTGTCTTACCTAAATGGTTTTGTATTCAGTTTGGTGAAGTCCGGCGAAACTGTCAGCTGGCCATGGGGATTGTACCGCAGTGTGCACAGGATCACTTCATGGGCTCTGGTTTCTCCAAGGCTGCATCAAATAAGAAGTCATCAGGTGCTAATGCTAAAAAGTAATATCAGTGAAGTATATAAAGAGAAAATCTTGAGAAAGTCATACATATTACAAACAAACGAAATACCCAATGTTAAACTCCAGAATATAATTCATTTATTGCATCAGCTTTCAAAATTCTATACAAAACAACAAAAGGTACAATATCATTAGAACAATTTTTTGACAAACTATAACACCAAAGTTCCCTTATAACTCACAACTCAGGTGGTGCCAAGTCAGCCATGATGTAAAAATGCTGCTGTTGCGACTTGGTTACTTCTGGGTCATTCTTTTCTCCACCTTTCCTACCATCCACCAGGGCTGCACTTTGACTGGCATTTCTATAAAAATATTTTATCTAGAAAATTCTCAATACATATAAGGAATTTCACACAAATTTAGGCATAATTAAGAAGAAGAAAAATATATGCAAGGTAATCTGTGAGAGAAATCAAAGTACATTTTCAACAGATACAACTTTAATCTTGAAATAATTTTCAACAATACCCCAAAAATGTTGAATTCCTTGAAAACCAGACCTAAAACCAGAATAATACTCTCACCTTACAGTACTTTGCATTATTACAATCAACTATAACTTTTACCATAGCACTTCATATAATAAATGATGCACTTATACCAGTACTTACCTTTCACCTTCCGTTCTTTTCCTTTGTCTTACACATGTATCTGGTTCCATCTGTTTTGTTGTGCTTGCCCTTATGTGGATCTGAAAGGATTGTTTACAGCAGTCCAAAACTTGTAAAAGCAAACACTCCTATAGTTGCAAAAATTTAAATAAAAAGTGTAGTAATTCTAAATTTCCATTTGGTTAGATTTCCCTTCCTGCATATCCTATTATAACACATTCAATACAATACTTACTTTGGTTCTGAATTTCAACTACAATATTTCTCTCTTTACATTTCCTACAATTACACAATCATTATTAAAAAGCTGTTTTAGCCTTAATTCTAAAAAGTGTCTTTTCGTCTCTATATATGTCTTGTTACATGTAATACTTTGTATCTAAAATTTCTAATTAAGTACAAGTATTTTTTTCCTTTTTTACATCAGTAAATGATTGAAATAATCTTAACAACAATCTTACCTGGCTTTGATAATTATCTTGGTGTGTGTAAGTGAAAATTCTTCTCCTCCATTGTTTGCGTTTCTTTAATTTAACAGCCTGTTCATGGTATGTTTTGTGTTGTGAATCCTCCGCATATATAGGACGGCCATATTCCACTATTTCAAAAGGACTGAAAAGATTCTGCAGTTAACAAAATTGCTAGACCATTCACCAGCTAAAAAGCATTACAAATTAAGACATATGAATATCTTCCTACAAAGATCAAAATTATCCGATATTATATAAAATCTTCAATCAACAAAAGAAGAACAAAAAAACAAGATCCAGAGAATATAGACTTCAAAAGTCTGAAACCCTATACAAGAAAAAGAAGAACACCATTGCTATGAATATATCTTTAATCTCTTCATTCATTAAAGACATTTATCAATATGAAATCATTGTGTCAATGAAAATATGAAAATACTGATATATAAATATTTCTTGTAAAAGCCTACTTCTATAACGACAGCAACTCACTCTGACTGACACTAACACAACACTCACCCATACACACATTACTAAAAATAAGTCACAATCTATGCTGGATATTACCAACACTAAAGCCATATGACTTACTGCTTACCTTAATAGTTTCTGCTGCCACTTAATAACTTGCTGTTGTGTGTGTGAAGCACTGGCATCACTAGTTGATGCAAGGGGCACAGAAAGAGTTGCAAGGTTTAGGTCTACCTCTCCAACAGCAGGTGTACTTTCTACAGCTCTTGGTGATGCATCAACCAGCTGGGAACCTGTAAGTTGCTGCAGCACTGTCCTAAAGAAGTCACAAGTTAAAGCTCATGTTATTTTGAATCTTTTTAACCTTTTGTTTAAATTCAAAATGGTGTGCACATACATTTACTTAGTGCCACTGGGGATGGCATATATTGACATGCTATGGCCACAGTGAGTTTTGTTTTTTTGCTAAGTGTGCTTATTTATCAATAAGCGCTCATTCACCAATAAGTCAATCACTACTTCTACCTACTTCAAACCAACTTATTTAATTTCATATTGCTATCAGTACTGTTTTATTTTATTTCATATTACTATCAGTATCATTAATATAACAGTAATAACCATAATATCAATAATAATAATAATAATAATAATAATAATAATAATAATAATAACAGCATCAATATAAATAGCATTAGAATAAAAAATCCTGAAAATCAAGGAGAGGGAAAATCAAGTGAGGGCACACAGACTACTACTTGCCTCCTGAGCATTTGTAAAGCCATTTTTGTGTATAAATATTAAAAAAAATATATATATTCCAGAAGCACAGGGTTAAAGAAAAAAAATATATAAATAAATAACAGTACCAAGACAATAACAGCAAAATATAAATCACTGATAACATTACCTTATTCTCAGATTTTCTATTTGTTCCTTTGTATAGTAGTAAGCACAATGATCTTTTGCTGGCTCCATATTCTTTCACTTCTGAAAAGGAAGCAAATACATTTCAAGTTGGTCACATGTGACAAAAGGACGTGTGTGTGGGGGGGAGGACCTGTGTGCATGTGTGCGTGTGTGAGCGTGTGTGTGCATGTGTGTGTGTAAAGGCATATATGCACATTTGTATATAGGCCGAGTAATCACCATTGTGTCCGCAACAAAGGCACATCAGCACAAAGTGTTTAAGACCAGCCAACAACCTCGAGGGCTCTCCTGGGAATCTACGAAGATGGTCATATGAACCAAAGTCTTCCCTAAACCAGGCACTTTGCCCCCAATACCCCCACCTAATCATCATGGACTAAATCTCTACATGGCATTGGACGCAACCTATTTTCTCCATTTCTGACATTATTCCTTACCTGCACAGATTATTTAATGTAGCAATGAATGTCGTACTTTCCCTATCTTTATGACAGTCATTAGATTTTCTCTATCTTAGTGCAATCATTATATTAATGTATACCAAAGTATTACATATTGCACAACTTTCTCATTATCATAGATAAAAAGGGTCTTATATTTTGTAGTATTACTGAAAATGATATTTACCACTGAAACTGAAGAATCTGACCTTACAATCCAATGAAACTTATTTAACATTTTCTTTGTAAACTGATAATAAGGGAAGTAGAAAGGATACTAACCTCAAAATTTCCAGTCACTCGATGATACATACTCATGCAGCGACAAGAAAAATGAAATGAAATTGAGGAAGCAACAAAATAATTTGATGGAATCACAGTCAAGGGAAAGGGAAATCAAACGAGACAATGGGCATTGCTCTTGGCGAAGACTGTTTTAGATCTAATAAGATCTGTAAAAGATATCATATAACAATAGAAGCTGGACCCAGGTGTAATTCAGTTAAAATTAAAATCGCTTCTATCATGACTAGACTGTGTATAAGGGGCTGTTTCACCTTTAAAATGTAAATTATGAAGGCAATAACAAATAAGAGCTGACAAATAACACTGACGACAAGGATTTTGATGACAAAGACTGGCAATTCCAGATTTAGTTGTTCAAGGCATGAAATTATCAGTACAAGATCCAGATATCTGCTCCAGCTCTGTTCTGCCAGGACATATGAGATGGTTTTATAGCCCAGGCAAGGGGTGTGCACATAAATTTAGTGGGGATAAGCTCCCTACTTACTGGAAATATGCTTTGCAATAACTAAATTACTGAAAGTTTGGTTAATATTTACAATATGGATGCACTGTTAGGGCCAACTGAATATAATATTCTTGTTGAAGACAAAAAGTTGCAGTCCTTGGTGCAAGAAATAATTTGCAGGCATGAACAGTAGTGCCACAAATAAAGGAAAGAGATTGCAAAAAGTGATGCTTTCAGCCAAAGTACACTCGGTGCTTCCAATTTTCAGTTCTATCTTGTGCATACCGAGGTGAGACAATGTTTCCGAGGAGGTGTTGGGGGCAAAGAGTCAATACTGTAAAGAATTACTTAAAGTTTTATTTGAAGCATTCACTGTTACCTCACAGAATCAATGATACTTATCATCCCTCCCCAACTAGCAGGGCCAATATCATGGATATACTTCATTAGTGATGGGAATGAGTGCTAGATTCTTTCAAAATGATATGAAAACTTCCAGATAAACAAAGTTTTTACCCAGAAATTGATGTTAAGCATCCTTTTCAAATCTATCCATTTTTTTCTGTCCATAACAAGCAAAGTTTATGGTGTACCATATGGCTGTGTGAAACTAAACCTAAAGCACTATAGCCTTCAAAATAATCATCGTAAAAGCAAGCCCGCAATCCCCTTTCAGATGCTACAGATTTGCCCCCAAGACTTTGCACAGGTTATAGTTACCACTCTTATCTTATGTATGTAACCCCCCCCCCACCCTCGGAAAGGTACTGTGAAATAAAAAGCAAAAAACAGTCCATGCTCTATTTATATGCGATGGTAGTCTGTTGCCATTTACTGGAGTGTGGAGGCTACGCCATCAATTGACATGCTAGCACTCTATCATAAATAATTTACTTAGTAACTTACCTTGATTTTATCAAACAAAATGACAGAGGGAACATGAACCGATTCATTTATCGATTCCAGGACGTATCGTTTACGTTATACTCTACTGTATTCGAAACTCTAGCTTCACGCCATTATATAAAAATCACAGAAAAAAAGTCAAACCACAAATGAAACATGCATATGTAGTGTCTCGCCTTGCGGTTTTTGTCAACAAACGTTTTCGTAAACCACTCAAACAAACGTCTATTTGTTTGGGATATTACTTGTGAGAACGGCCACTAGATAGCAGTAGTGAAGTAGATTGCGTGAAATTTCAAATACGTTTAAGAGAGGGGTACTTTTGCATATAATTTTTCATTATATAAATGCAAAGAAATTACATACACATCTGTATTCCAGAATGCAGAGATGGGGATGTGTTACAGTACCCCCAGATACTTCTGTATGCCTGTCTCATTTTAAAATTTACATAAAAATATTTGTGTCCCCTAATGTTAATCGCTTTCATGGGACTTTTTTTTTTTTTTTTTACTTCCCAATTACTCATACATTATGCAATTCTTCTGAACCGCATTTTTCTGCAATATATACATGCGACAGCCCATGCTTTAGAAAAAAAGTACATTTTTTGCACTAGCACTAAAATAAATCTGGCACATACCCAAACTCACTGCAGCGAAATAGATTTATAGACAGATGGGAATTGAAAATGTATTAAATAAATCCGCTAAATATAAAGGAAATATGTCAGAAGTCTGTTCACGACCTGCTTACGACGAGGCCTTCCAAAAGACACTAACCACTACTTCGGGGTACAGAAAAGACCCAACCACAAGTCTTCTTTGTGGCCCCCACCTCTCCACCCGGAGATTTCGAAAAATATTTTCTACGCATATGTTGAATGGAGCAAACAAATAAATGTGGTAAACATCTAAGGTCATATAGCACTATGGTGAAGTATTGTGGTGAAAAAGGAAAATGAATTGACGATTAGTATAGAGTGTTAAATGTCAAAGGTTATACTATTATAGGATTGTATGATAGGGAAAAGGGTAAAGATGGGGTGCAAATGTTGTAAATCGGACACTAATAAAGGAAAGGGTAAAGGGTATAGGGCGATTGGATGGGATGGGGTGTATCTGTCGTTGGGGAAGCTCTAGTAACACTGATTTAAGGAAAAAACGGCAAAAGAGCTGTTATGAAATAAGCAACGGGTAATACGGGTAGAGATATCTGTGAAGTAGCAGGAGAAGAGTCTGGGGGATGAGATAAGGGGATTGGGGAAGGGTGTGAAATATTAGAAAGAGCGTCAGGAGGGGAGGAATCCGGAGGAAGACACTGTTGCGACAGAAGGGATTCACGTAAGTATCCAGGTGAGAGAGGTAAGATAATAGAGAACGGAACGGGAATTGTGTACATGGAGGAGAGGATGGGGTAAAGAGGGGTACGAGGAATTGCGGGCGAGGAGGATGGATATCGGCAAATACTTTGTTTGTAGAGGGACTACGAATAGAGGGATGGCAGGGTGGATGAGGGTGCGGAATATTTTCTTGGGTCATGTCTAGGAATTTACGGATTTCTTCAAGATTTCCTGGAGGGGATTTGGGTAGGGAGGTCTCAGATACACAGGATCTCATGTTAGAAGGAGAAGAGGGGATAGGTGTTCGAGGAGCAGAGGAAAAGGAGGGTGTAGGAGAGGGCGTGGAAGGCGAAGATGGAGTAGAACGTTTAGGTTGTCTGGTGCGACTCGTTAAGTGTGGGGGAGGAAGAGTAGGCATCGGAAAAGTGGTAGAGATTGAAGTATCTGGATTTAGAATGGAAAAGAGAATTAACTGGGAGATAGGGAGAGCAGATAAATGCTTGGAAGACGGATGTTATTGATATGTTGCCCCAGACGATGAGCCTCATCACCTTCAAGGTTGGAACTGTAGCTTCGTCTATCTAGGCAGCATCCTCTGTTCATCTTGGAACATTGACTGCATCTATTGCATTTGCGAGCTTGATATCTCTTGCCTTCCTTTATAGCATCATTACAATGATCGCTGTCTGCAAAGCTGTATTTGCTATCCGGATGTGAGGCTTGGACCGAGTCTTTCGCATCTCATTCCTTCAATGTGCAGACAGCCTTCGTGCCGCCGCTCAAATTATCCAGAGTTATTTTGGATGGGTGGGTCATGTCTACTGTCTTGGACGAGAGCCGACTTCGTCGCACTCACGGTCTATATAAGCATACTGATATATACACCTTGGTCGCACAATTCTTTAAGGCGAACTTGCTTCTGGTCAACGGTCTGTCGGCGGACAGAAGAGGAGCTTTAAATCTGAAAGCGACAGTCAAGTGATGCAATGTCCCTCCCCAAACAACTTGGAACAGCTCGCAGAGGACCGGAGCACCCGGCGGTCTACGACCCCCTCTGTAGTGAAGACCTTCGAGGCTCAGCGTACTCGCAGACGAGAACAGCGTTGCCGTCGACATGAAAAAAATGAACCAAGGACCTCACCCTCCAGGACAAACACACAGTGCCCGCTCTGTGGAAATCGATGTGCTTCGGAGTTTGGGCTTTGTAATCACCAAAATAGCCATCTGGGCCGACGTGGCTCCCTCCTTAGAGCTACTGTAACCTCTGTGAAAAGGTCCACCTACAAATCTGGAACGAATTGCTGCATCCAAACAATTTTTATCCTAAACATCAGAAAGCATTGAAATGTATGTTTCCATCTTTAAAACAGGTATCCTGCAAGTAACTTCTTTCCAATTCTTGGAAATAAAGCATACTATCAACATATGAATTTCTCACCAGATATGACAAGGCAATGGATACACTGACCTATATTCCCGGAAGATTCTGGGATCAACACAAGACCTTTTATTTTCTTTAATGCAATTTTTTCTCTGCTTACCCTCCATGGATGTGCAAATACTTTAACACAGGCCTGAGTTGTTACACAAATTTAGTTCTTACACAAAGTGCAGTGTGCAAATCAGTTTGTGTAGGCAGTGTGCACAGTTCAGCTGTCGGTAAATAATCATGCACCATCAATTATTATTATTATTATTATTATTATTATTATTATTATCATTATTATTTTTAACACATATAATAACTATGTTTCCCCATCTCCACAACTGACACCAACACATGATATATAATTGAACATTTCCAAAGTTCACCAGCTTTTGCTTACACCTTTGGTTATGCCCAGAAATCAGTTTCCTAAGCAATATCTACTGATGAAGAGATAAGGTTATAACATGTAGAGCCAGAGATTAAATTTTCATTCAGCCCCTTGGATATCTGTCAGTCTTCACTACCAGTGCCAATTGTGAAATTCCAACAGTATTCATGAGGGAGATAGGAAGTTAAAATGCATTGGATCCTGGCTAATTACTTTGCTGTAGGTCACCTGAAGCTATTGGTGGTCAATTATACCATTCTGTATTGAGAAGCAATAATGATTGGACTCTCTGTGGGGATTGGTGTAGCACTATATTGATACCACATCATAGTCAAAATATGCAGGCTGTTTTCAGTCTAATTAATTTTTGCAGCCCCCCTTTTGACCCTAAGTAATCCTCTTGAGGGTCACAATCCACCATTTGAAAACCACTACTATAAAGTTTGTAGAAACAATTATATTTACCCATTTTGTAAATAGTTTGAAGGTAGGTGAGCTGATAGTCACCATCATACCTGGCATTAGATCAAGACATAATATGGTTCTGACAAATCCCATTTGTCCTGCAATACACTGCCATCCTTAAATACTGAATGTGTTAAATGTTAAGTTGTCACATGCCATGACAAATATGCAATATCTGATAAAGGGGGAAAATAGAAGCATCCTCACATCCCTTTTAAGTATCCCTTACCTAAGTGAAACAATCAAGGCTTGGAAAATGTATTACCTTTACATCAATAATTGCAAATATTGAATGGAACTTTTCCAAACAGTTTAAAGATTGTTTGTATTGAAGTTACATTCCCTCTAAAAGGGAAAAGTTGCTCATCAACCTCATTCCTACTTTGATACTTTTCCCTGCCATGCATAATGAAGCTATTTTAAAAGGGTTGAATGACTAAAGTTGTCTACCTTTAGGCTCTCTTATGCCGAGTCTCTGTCATAAAGATTCAGGTTTTCAATTGGAAACTAAAACCTGTGTTCACTCATGGCAGCTTGGAATGGAGAACACCTAAACATCATTTGCCATATTTATTCCATTGCTATCCGATAGTGCAGCGGACTTCATCTGAAATTTTCCCTAAAGTCTACTAATCAGGTGTTCATATGGAAAACCATTCAGACCGGCATGGCATCATCTACAAAGATATTAAAGACATCAGTTGCAGCCTCCTTTCTCATCATATATCTGAGTACATTTTTCATTTCTCAGTTTTCTCTCCTTACTCTAAAATGTCACTCTGGTCTGTGGGCTCCTGTAGTTCTGAAATACAAGGGGTGAGGCAGTGGTGGAGATGCTGGAAGGGGAGGAATAGTGATGATAAAGATCAGTCACTACTTCAGACGACCCACATTGTCTTTTTCCTTAACATAAGAGTTAGATATATCTGTTCTTGTGGTTCTGACACCTACAGTCATTGATATTTTCACTCATGACAAATTCAGCTTCATTTTCTCTACAACCTGGAGTCCATGATTGGCTTCAAGGGGTTTGGAGTGATTAATCAAATTTTTAACATTTATCTTAAACACTTAAAGAGAAGTTACACAGGGAGTCCCACAATTTTTTTTTTTTAATAACTTTAGAAAATAATAATGAAGTCACTCAGATTATACTGTAGAACTTCTTCAAATGTTACTTTAGCTCAGGCAACCTTGAGGTTGACACAGATTTGGAATCCTTTTTAAAGCGACAAATTCCATCAATGATGCCAAAGATGACCTCATGACTTGAAGATCAAGAAAACAATGTGAAATTAATTAAGTTCAAAGAGCCTTGCAGAATTCTGGTGTTTGCTGGTACATGCCTAACCTCATCTGGTAAAGTAGGCTATGAGTTGTCTGATTCCGTATGTTACTACTTACCATTGTGACGAGACCACTCCACAACTTCATCTTATACCAGGACACTAATAGCACTCTTCTCAATGAAATATATCTTACAACACAACTGATATATCATTTTGTTTACTTTATACATCTTAGATATATTTCCTTTACCTTGTAGTCATTAATTTTAGAATGAAAAAAAAATAAGAAATTGCATCTTTATGCAACTCCTTTTACAATGCTGATGATGCAGTCGGATTTTTCTATGAAGTATACAAAATGTTACTGCTGCATGTTTTGACATCCCCAATTTTTTCAGAAAGGCCAAAAAAAAAAGGATAAGAACCGTTAAATTGCACTAAGATTATCAAAATTTTCTCTGGGTAAAACCTAATAAAGCCATTGCAAGCTAGAGCAAACAAAACGAAAAAGGGAAACATGTTTTACTGAAATATAAGGAAGTATTTGTTATGTTTAGAGCAATCATTTGAGAAATTTTGCAAAAACCAGCAAGACCATTTGTGGACTACCCATATACTACTACTACTACTACTACTACTACTACTACTACTACTACTACTACTACTACTACTACTACTACTACTACTACTACTACTACTACTACTACTACTTATAATAATTATTGCACTGAATATATTAATGATAATCTGAATATTAATAAAAAAATAAATCACAGTACTTAATAGGTGGAAAGATGCAGTCTATAGAAAAGTTAAAATAAAACCAATACTCAACTTTCTCTTATGCTGATTTACTGAGAGAGTTCTTTTTATAAAAATTCACAGCCTCGTCAATACGAAGTAGTCACCCGATAATTTCAGTACTTATCTGATTATTCATACATACCCCACTACCCCTTTCACAAACATAATTACATTGCTTCTTCAGGTCTTCCTCAGCTATTGACTGCTTTCCTTCCCAAATCCTTCAGCCTGAATAGGTGAAAACCACTAGAGGCCTAGTACAGGCTGTAAAGTGGTCCAAAATTTACCACTGTTTTCCTAGCAACGTTGGTACTACTTTGCCTCCAAACACTGGGGCATCTTGTGGTCTTATGCAATTGCTTCCTGATGTACATGTACATTTTTATGACTCCTTGGGACATGAACACAATACGGTAGGAAGAAGGTGTCAATATTTCTGAATGAGTTGCCGATTAATATTCATTAATAAGGAACTCAAAAACAGTATTCATATGTTATAATAAGTACTTATAGATACACTTTATATACAGTGATCATGTGGAAAAACAGTTTACCAGGTTTAAATATATATATATGTGTGTGTGTGTGTGTGTGTGTGTGTGTGTGTGTGTGTGTGTGTGTGTGTGTGTGTGTGTGTGTGTGTGTGTGTGTGTGTGTGTGTGTGTATGCGTAAGTAGTTTAGATATATACATTTCTTTTTTTCTTCTTTCCATTTCTTTTTTCACATAATAAATCTCTAATGGTTATAATTTAATGCTAGTAGCTACCATAAAATATTTCATATACTATAAATGAATACCAATGAAATTCCTAAGCTATTACACACAACTTCATAATTTTTACTATATTTACTTTTTATATATTTGATTTATCAGAATGACATATACTTGTGTGTTCAATACAGAAAAAACAACAACAACAAAAAACATGCTAAACAGATGTATAGGAAATGAGTATTCAGAACTGAAAAATGGGAACTAAAATTGATTTCATTGTGTAAAAAAAAAAAAAAAAAAAAAAAATAGTGTAGATAACATGTCTTCCTTTATATCATTGGTATATGGTATATGGCATATAGGGTAGACTTGCTTGATAAGGCACCGGGTGATTTGAGAAAAAATGTTCAGGATAAACTACATAACCATTACAATATGTTTCATTTATTATATAAAAATATTGAGCAAGGTGAAATGACAAAAATATGGTATCCACAATCTTGATATATCACAATAAAGTAGGTATATAGAAAGCAATTTGATAATGCTGCTTTCATTAACAATCTGAAAGCACTCACATATATAGGTATAACTGAAGTAACAGTTGAAGGAGCAATGTGAATTTTAACCACAATTCTCACTCTGACAAAACAGGACCCACAGGTTACACTGTTTTAGATAATAGATTACCACAACAATGAGAGGTGTATGTGACATTACCTAGGCCCTATATATTTGATGAGTTTTATCTCTCTCTCAATCACAGCAGATCACTCGGATGGCAGTCTTTCCCGTCTCGTGTATCCACTCCTGTTGATGAAGAAAACAGCACTGGAATGGAGTAGAACTTTTGACAAGCTGACACAGGAACAATTAAATTTTCCCTTGAAATTCAGTGTTCAATTAAGGGGAACACACCTGTTGTGGGAGAAGCCAAGAACCAGAATATTCTCCCTTCCCACGTATAGACATAGACACTATACAATATTTATATCATTATTTCCAGACTTGCACTTTAAATTATTGATAAATATTATTTAGGATAGTGCTATTGTGGAAAGTAATAATTACTGTAATTCAAAATGGTCCCTTCATAAAGGCAAATATGAGTAGATCATGCCACAGTCCAAAAAAGAATGTTGTCCATCACAACAGCACTCTAAGACACGCCCATCTTCCTATATCTTAGAGCAATTTTAAAACTATGTCCACAAAGAAAGAATATTAGTCATAGAAAAATATATAGGGAAGCTGGTGCTACATTACCTAGTGTCCAAACCAATGACAGGTGTGTGCTAAATCTTACATAAATCATAGATTGAAAGGTTGTGGCCATTAAACTGTGATGGTTGTACAATCAAAAATGGTATTTTTATAACGATATTCTTCTTCTTACTGCCATACTGGTCCTTTTTACTACATACAAAGCTTATCATTTTAAAAATCGTTCCCATTTTTATCAAAATTAATAGACAAAATTAACTAAAGGACTCAATAGACATCTCACAATTTCAAAATTAAATTCCACAAGTATCATATTTGAAAAATATAGACTGTGACAGTAATGTGCTTACATACCATAAAAGAGTAAAATGAATAAGGGTTAACCTAATTTTACATAAATAATATCAACATCACCTGAAGAATACAATAGTATGTAACATTTATTTACCTGCCTTCTACTTTTTCAATACTTCCAAGGCTTCTCGTATGGCATTTACCCCGTCCCTTACCGCTGCCACCATCTCCTTTTGGCTTGCCACCAACTGCTTCTGGTCTGCCACCAGTTCCGCCAATAAAGCAACAAGAAGTCTTTGGTTTTGTGCTATTTCCGTGAAAGGATCACTCATCCCTTCCTGGATAGTGGCCGTCCCATCTGTTTTGGACTGTATCTCACTTATCCCTTCTGTTTTGGATAGTATATCACCTATGGAGAGAGACAATTTGATGCATATAGTAATACACATCATAGCTTTATATAAACATGCGTTAATAAATTGGTTTACCAAACAATGCAAATGAGCAAAGATTTATCATCAGCAAAAAAAGAATTGTATGACTTATTCACCTTCATCAGGAATCACAGGATGACTGCCGTTAATACTATGCGGATGAGTAGCTGGAGGATCAGCACAAAGTGGTTCGCTTTTACACCCCGTTTGCCTTGGAGGATCAGCACAAGGTGGTTGCCAGCACCTTTACACCTGCTTCCCTTGGAGGATCAGCATAAGGTGGTTCACACCCTGTTTGCCTTGGAGGATCAGCACAAGGTGGTTCGCTTATACACCCTGTTTGCCTTGGAGGATCAGCACAAGGTGGTTCGCTTATACACCCCGTTTGCCTTGGAGGATCAGCACAAGGTGGTTCGCTTATACACCCTGTTTGCCTTCGAGGATCAGCACAAGGTGGTTCGCTTATACACCCTGTTTGCCTTGGATAAAAAGAAAAATTCC